ATCTTGCATGGAGCCCCAGGCTGAGGGAGATTGACAGTTATTTTGTGTTTCTTCCATTTGCGAATAATCACACCAACTGTTGTCACCTTCTCACCAAGCTGCTTGGCAATGGTCTTGTAGCCCATTCCAGCCTTGTGTAGGTCTTCAATCTTGTCCCTGACATCATTGGAGAGCTCTTTGGTCTTGGCCATGGTGGAGAGTTTGGAATCTGATTGATTGATTGCTTCTGTGGACAGGTGTCTTTTATACAGGTAACAAGCTGAGATTAGGAGCACTCCCTTTAAGAGTGTGCTCCTAATCTCAGCTCGTTACCTGTATAAAAGACACCTGGGAGCCAGAAATCTTTCTGATTGAGAGGGGGTCAAATACTTATTTCCCTCATTAAAATGTGTTTTTCTCTGTTAAAATAATCGTTTGGAGGTTTGTTAACACAGTGTCCAATGAAGGGCCAGATGTATACAAAATGGTGTCGTCTGCGAAGAGGTGGATCTGAGTGTCACCAGCAGCAAGAGCGACATCATTGATATACACAGAGAATAGAGTCGGCCCGAGAATTGAACCCTGTGGCACCCCCATAGAGACTGCCAGAGGTCCAGACAACAGGCCCTCCAATTTGACACATTGAACTCTATCTGATAAGTAGTTGGTGAACCAGGCGAGGCAGTCATTTGAGAAACCAAGGCTATTTAGTCTGCCAATAAGAATGCAGTGATTGACAGAGTCAAAAGCCTTGGCCAGGTCAATGAAGACGGCTGCGCAGTACTGTCTTTTATCGATTGCAGTTATTATATCGTTTAGGACCTTGAGCGTGGCTGAGGTGCACCCATGACCAGCTCGTAAACCAGATTGCATAGCGGAGAAGGTACGGTAGGATTCGAAATGGTCGGTGATCTGATTGTTAACTTGGCTTTCAAATACTTTCGAAAGGCAGGGCAGGATGGATATAGGTCTGTAACAGTTTGGATCTAGATTGTCACCCCCTTTGAAGATGGGGATGACTGCGGCAGCTTTCCAATCTCTGGGGATCTCAGATAATACAAAAGAGAGGTTGAACAAGATAGTAACAGGGGTTGCGACAATTTCGGCGGCTAATTTTAGAAAGAAAGGGTCCAGATTGTCTAGCCCAGCCGATTTGTAGGGGTCCAGATTTTGCAGCTCTTTCAGAACATCAGCTATCTGAATTTGGGTGAAGGAGAAGCGGGGGGGGGGGGGGCATGGGCAAGTTGCAGCGGAGGGTGCAGAGCTGGTGGCCGGGGTAGGGTTAGCCAGGTGGAAAGCATGGCCAGCCGTAGCAAAATGCTTGTTGAAATATTCGATTATCGTAGATTTATCGATAGTGACAGTGTTTCCTAGCCTCAGTGCAGTGGGCAGCTGGGAGGAGGTGCTCTTATTCTCCATGGACTTTACAGTGTCCGAAAACTTTTCGGAGTTAGTGCTACAGGATACAAATTTCTGTTTGAAAAAGTTAGCCTTTGCTTTCCTAACTGATTGTGTATATTGGTTCCTGACTTCCCTGAAAAATGGCATATCGCGGGGGCTGTTCGATGCTAATGCAGTACGCCACAGGATGTTTTTGTGCTGGTCAAGGGCAGTCAATTCTGGGGTGAACCAGGGGCTATATCTGTTCTTAGTTCTGAATTTTTTGAATGGGGCATGCTTATTTAAGATGGAGAGGAAAGCATTTTTAAAGAACAACCAGGCATCCTCTACTGACGGAATTAGGTCAATATCCATCCAGGATACCCGGGCCGGGTCAATTAGAAAGGCCTTCTCGCTGAAGTGTTTTAGGGAGCATTTGACAGTGATGAGGGGTGGTCGTTTGACCGCGGACCCATTACGGACGCAGGCAATGAGGCAGTGATCGCTGAGATCCTGGTTGAAGACAGCGGAGGTGTATTTAGAGGGTAAATTAGTCAGGATGATATCTATGAGGGTGCCCATGTTAACGGATTTAGGGTTGTACCTGGTAGGTTCGTTGTTAATTTGTGTGAGATTGAGGGCATCTAGTTTAGATTGTAGGACGGCCAGGGTGTTAAGCATATCCCAGTTTAGGTCACCAAGCAGTATGAACTGAGGATAGATGGGGGGCAATCCGTTCAAATATGGTGTCCAGGGCACAGCTCGGGGCTGAGGGGGTCTGTAGCAAGCAGCAACAGTGAGAGACTTATTTCTGGAAAGGTGGATTTTTAGAAGTAGAAGCTCAAACTGTTTGGGCACAGACCTGGATAGTATGATAGAGCTCTGCAGGCTATCTCTACAGTAGATTGCAACCCAACCCCCTTTGGCAGTTCTATGGAGACAGAAAATGTTGTAGTTGGGGATGGAAATTTCATCCCTATGTATCCCATGCCCATGCATGTGACTCGCTGCAATTTTAGCGAAGTGAAATAGTAAATTTTCCAGAATTCGAACATAAAGCCAGTACATTTCTGGTGTCAAAGTAACTGCTAATCTCATCTCACCCATTGGTATAGGGCTCATAGTGAATTTGGAGAGATATCAAGTGGGAAGATAATGCCATCTGGTGGTGTAAAATGGAAACACATAACAGTACAGAGCTAATGAGCTGGGGTGTATTCATTACGGAAACCATTTAAGAACTAAACAGAATATAACAGAGCAAACGTAACGAAGCCGGGAGGGACCTAACTGGATTTGTCCAATAGAAACTCTCGTATGCGTTTTCCTTTTGGAGTAAACGGTTTCTGTTGCAAAACGTTTAGCAACAGACGAAACGTTTTGCAACAGAATCGGCATAATGATTACACCCCTAATGTCCCGTGTGCAAGGTGTCCTCGACCACTGCTTGTTCATGTTTCCCCCGAAATTGTTTTCATAAACTGATTACAATGAATATTATTATTCACACGCCTGGTTAGTCGCTTTGACTTTGTTTTCTTAAACTGATTACAATGAATATTATTATTTTAAATAGCACAATCTTATGCATATTCTATATATATATATATATATATATATATATATATATATATATATATATATATATATATATATATATGTATATGTGTATATCATAGATGTACAACATGTGTCCCTGGTTGGGCTCGTATGTTTATGTCGATTTCAGTCCATTCTGTAAGTCTATATGCCACCCTCAGTTTATTGGCGAGCTAGACACACATAGTGTTATGGAATAGGTCAGGTAGTTTAGTTCTTAGGAGCATGACACTACACTACCACTTACACACTCCATCCCCAGGTGGCAGCACTAATCGGTCAGGTGCGGTGTTCTGCCTGGAAGTCTTGATTATACACAGGTGTGGGTGATCAATCAGTGTGTTAACTTGCAGAGCTGTGAGGCTGCTGGAGTTTGAGGGCCATGTGGGTCTTTTGTAGTTAAATTTTTGTAAATAGTGGGGTCCAAAATTATTGGATCCTTTGATAAAGATGAGCAAAAAATACTATATAAATAATTATAATACTGAACTTTATTGTATGCTCAAACATTTTTACAAATGGTATGATTTTATACTAACATAATTGCTCAGAGAAAGAGATTTTGTTAACAAGTAATAAAACAAATATCAAAAAGATATTGATTATTGGATCCCCTGTTTTCAATACTCCAACACCCTCCCCATGCTAGGATAACAACACTGAGCCTTTTTCTTGAATGTTTTATGAAATTGGAGAACACATTGGGAGGAATCTTAGACCATTCCTCCATACAGAAACTTTCCATATCCTTGATATCCTTTGTCTGCGCTTATGGATTGCACTGTTCAATTCAAACCGCAGGTTTTCAATGAGGTTCAAGTCTGGAGACTGAGATGGCTGTTGCAAAATGTAGATTTTCTGGTCAATTAACCATTTCATTGTGGATTTTGATGTGTGCTTGGGATTATTGTATTGCTGGAAGATTCACTTGCGGCCAAGTTTCAGCCTCCTGGCAGAGGCAACCAGGTTTTTGTTAAAAAAAAATGTCCTGGTACTTAGTAAAGTTCATGATGCCGTTGACCTTAACAAGGGCCCCAGAACCAGTGGAAGCAAAATAGCCCCATAACATCAAAGATCCACCACCATATTTTGCAGTAGGCATTAAGTATTTTCTGCATATGCATTGTTCTTTTAAAGGCCAAAACCACCATTAGTGTGCGTGGCCAAAGAGCTCTAATAAAAAACAATATAAAAAAATATTCAATGTAACTTTGACTATTTCCTGCTGACTTATTGTCAGGTCTCCCTTGCAAACTAGGTTTCTACAGTATTTTCCTGGTTAAATAAACGTTAAATAAATAAAATGATGCTTGCAGTAAAACTCTTAACGATGACTAGAAATAGTTATCTTCATGCCATTTTAGGAATCGGTTTCTGTGGATTCATGGCTGGTTTTGAGTTTAGGTCTACATGCTCTTGAAATGGAGACGTCACTGAAATTGCTGGATTCCGGTGAGTTGTCAAGAGAGCGGCAATAAAACGCCAAGATGCAACTCTACCTCCCACTAGTGTTCAAGATTATTCATCTGAAGGAGAGGTGAAGGGAGCAGAGCCGTGTTATTTATAGCTAAAGACATAGCTCTGGAAGGGAGGGCTGTAGTTGAGAAGGATGTAGTACCCGTGCAGTGTGTAACTAATGCCCCCCCCCCAAGTGATGCTGAATGGGCACGTACTGATTAGGCTTTTTCCACCGAATAATACATTTTAGTCAGTTGGTTGCACAAATCCATTATACGTTTCAGTGGACTAAACATTCCAGAACAGGTAAATGCCCGTTTATGCCAACCTGACATTTCAGCAAGCCTGACCTACACAGAATCAATAAAGGTGTCGATTAGTACGAAGCAAAAGGAATGGAAATTATTTGTAATGGGAGTGCCTTGGAAAATGTTTTCAAGAACTGAATGTCCGCTTGCGGCTTCAGGTCTGACTTTTGAAAGAGAGCGAGAGAGAGAGAGAGAGAGAGAGAGAGAGAGAGAGAAAGAGAGAAAGAGAGAGAGAGAGCGCGCGCGAGAGAGAGAGCACTAATGTGTAGAGAACAGGAACTGGGAGGAAGAGTAGGGTAGAATTCACACGGAATATTCAGCTGTAGCTGTACATTTTGTTGGATATATGTTTTCATAATAATTATTGCGACGTGGACACTATTTCTCGTGTCTCAGATGTGATAGTGTTTTCATCACATCACTGCCCCCGGGGCACAGTGAGTGACAGTTACAGTGGAGATTTTTTAACTACGCTCGAACAGCCTTCAGTCTTCACTTTAGAGGCTTTGGAGTGGATCAATTGAATTAGAAAATACATTCTCAACATGGCTACGGATCAAGAAAAGAATAAACAGCTTTTGATAAAGCTGTTGGAGAGACCGGGGAACGGGAGCTGTGTGGATTGCGGAGATGCAGGTACAGTCTAGGCCACTATGGTCGCATCAATGTCTCAAGTATGTCAGGTCAGGTGGCGCGCGCGCTCCTCCAGACAGGTCTCAGAGCATTTAATATTATTCTGTACGTAAATCCGAGACACTGCCATGCAAGTACTGTAGGCTACTGTAGTGCTCTATTGTTTGCAGTTATCAGTGTCTGTTTAAGCTCTAGTGCAGTCAAACAGGTGTCATTGCATAACAATACAGTGAAATCCGGTGAACATTTCAATGTTTGTATCAGAGAGAGAGAGAGAGTGAGAGAGAGCAAGAGACTGGAACCGTGAGACAGAGGGACAGGCAGAAGGACAGACAGGCAGACTGACGGAATAACATAATATTTTGGGATGTAGGCCTAATTCCCTGGTCTAAATATTCCTGCCTTGTGTGAGTTGCCCAGGTTGGCACACTGACAAATGCCAGTCTATAGCTTTACCTACCTCAACAGAGTGAGACCTGCATCTAATCATAATGTAGGTTGTAATGGAGTCTCCATACGTTTATTGTGACCACTGACCAGGAATACAATACAGACAATTTATGATTCCTTAATGCTATGACTCATTCATTTACATTTTACATTTACGTTACATTTACGTCATTTAGCAGACGCTCTTATCCAGAGCGACTTACAGTTAGTGCATACAATATTTGCAAATGCCATGCTCTACCAACTGAGCTACATCCCTGCCGGCCATTCCCTCCCCCCTCCCTGGACGACGCTGGGCCAATTGTGCGCCGCCCCATGGGTCTCCCGGTCGCGGCCAGCTACGACAGAGCCTGGATTCGAACCAGGATCTCATTCAAGTGGACATGCCCTGCCATCAATGCAATATTAATCTCCTGGTTCCATCCTCTGTAGCAGTTACTATGCTGTACAAGTCAGGGCTTGAAGTCAAATAGTCATAGCCTTATTTATTTTCAGGGTAATAATGAATAGCAACTGCATGGATTTTGAAAATACTTAAGAGGGTCCAGTCAACATAAAATCTATTGTATTCCGTCTTTAAATCATTTAATTAGAACTATCCTTATGGATCATTTAGATTCCTCAGGAAGTCTGTCTGCCTCCTTCTTCCATAGCAAGTGTTTCTTGGAAGAGTGTAAGATTATCTGCAATGTGGTTTGTTTGTGGCCCTTCCCTAAGCTCCAAAGAGTGTCACCAGATCATCATGACATCACAGATAACATGATGACAAAATAACACATCAGCGAACTTGGAATGCAGCCTCCCGCTCTTACAAGGTGTCAGTGAAATGAGTGGACGAGACATAGATCATACTTAACTGTAAATAGCTTTTTTATTATTCCATGGGCCTTATCACATAGTAGAACACTGTCATCTATTAAATCCTGCAAATGCCACCTGCTCTTTCATAAGGCCAATGCCAAGAGACACTTGTATTTAATATTTCATCAGGAGTGATGTGCTATCAATGATGCAGATCAGACGACCGGTTTAGCCTGTGGAGCCAGTCTGCTCTGTATGGAGAAGATAGATACTCCAGGGTTGTATTCATTACGCACCAAATGGAAGAAAAACAGACTGAAACAGGGACGGACTACTTGGAATTGTCCAATAAGAAGCTCTCATTTTCATTTTCATGCAAAACGGTAAAACTATTTTTTGTTACATGCCCTAATGAACATAACCCAAGGCTGAATGCTGAGCACACCCACACATTCCCATGGTGACTCAGCTATGAGCTCATCTCTAGATCCAAGGTCACAGAGTTCACAGTTATGTCATGTCCTGCTTGGCTTTTGAAAGAAATACAGTATCTACAAGGTAGTATTCATTCAGATGTTTCTCTGATGCTAGTAGCAGTATCTGGTCAGTATAGGGACTGTGCAGGCCTCTTGGGGTTGCATCCATATCTTCTTTATTCATTTCAGTCTTCCATCGGTTTGGGTTGTTGGGATCAGGGATGATGTGAGTGTTTCCTTTAGTAGATTTTAAACAAAAGATACAACAGATAGGCTGTTTAGAGAGAAATGTGCTTTGCCAACAATGGGTGACTGACACTTTACCATGTATCCCAGAATTTCCAAATGAGAAATTATGTGTATTTCGGTGAAGCTGTTAGTATGAGCAAACTGATAGTGAAAACATTGCATGCAGTGTCAGGTTATTTTTTAAACTCACTGCATGGTTTTTGTCAGTCGTTCTGTATGAATGAATGAATGAATGAATGAATTAATGTCTGTCTGTCTGTCTGTCTGTCTGTCTGTCTGTCTGTCTGTCTGTCTGTCTGTCTGTCTGTCTGTCTGTCTGTCTGTCTGTCTGTCTGTCTGTCTGTCTGTCTGTCTGTCTGTCTGTCTGTCTGTCTGTCTGTCTGTCTGTCTGTCTTTCTGTCTGTCTTTCTAATCTCACAGCATGGCTGGTGTACTGAGTGTACTGTCTGGGTTTGTGCCATTACTTTCTGTAATTGAGAGAAGAGATGGTTGGTTGAGATAAAACCATGGCATACACTCATAATTGTAAACTGTAAATGTGCAATATCATTAGGAACCATGCCAAGTAGATTCTGTCATCCCTCTGCTGCCCCTCTCTCTCAATGTCTATTGCTTTATTGGCATGATGTAACAATGTACATATTGCCAAAGAGTACTTTGGAAATGATTCATTAACAATATCAATAACAACATCATTAAAAATAACAATCAAGATTGCCACAAACAGGACAATCAGTAACAACAATAATCAAGGGTGGGGGGGATGGGGTTGTTTTAGAAATGGGAATCAGTAAGAAAATAAGTCAGTAAATAAGTCAATAACAGGAAGATGTGAAGGTTGGTTGGTCTGTCAGACAATGTCCCTCTTTATGGCATCTCTCTCTCTCTCTCTCTCTCTCTCTCTCTCTCTCTCTCTCTCTCTCTCTCTCACACTTTCACTTTGTCTTCTCCATTCTCTTTTCCCCATCTGTCTCTTTTCTGTCCTCTCCTCTCATGCCTCTTGTCAGTTGTTCCTCCTCTATCTCTCAATATCTTTGCCATCCCCCACCCTCCCTATCTCTGTGGCATTTACCATAGACATAAATCCACTCACTGAGTGACTTGTCTTTTTGCAGGTTTATGATCATCTCGCATGATCCCTTTAATTAGGAGATGTACTGTATATCCCCCACTATCCCTTTAATTAGTAGATGTACAGTACCAGTCAAAAGTTTGGACACACCTACTCATTCAAGGGTTTTTCTTAATTTTCTACATTGTAGAATAATAGTGAAGACATCAAAACTATGAAATAACACATATGGAATCATGTAGTAACCAAAAAAGTGTTAAACAAATGAAAATATGTTTAATATTTTATATTCTTCAAAGTAGCCACCCTTTGCCTTGATGACAGCTTTGCACACTCTTGGCATTCTCTCAACCAGCTTCACCTGGAATGTTTTTCCAACAGTCTTGAAGGAGTTCCCACTTATGCTGAGCACTTGTTGGCTGCTTTTCCTTCACTCTGCGGTCCAACTCATTCCAAACCGTCTCAATTGGGTTGAGGTCGGGTATTGTGGAGGCCAGGTCATCTGATGCAGCACTCCATCACTCTCCTTCTTGGTCAAATAGCACTTACACAGCCTGGAGGTTTGTTGGGTCATTGTCCTGTTGAAAAACAAATGATAGTCCCACTAAGAGCAAACCAGATGGGATGGTGTATCGCTGCAGAATGCTGTGGTAGCCTTGCTGGTTAAGTGTGCCTTGAATTCTAAATATATCACAGAAATTGTCACCAGCAAAGCACCCCCACACCATCACACCTCCTCCTCCTTGCTTCACGGTGGGAACCACATATGAAGAGATCATTCGTTCACCTACTCTGCGTCTCACAAAAACATGGCGTTTGGAGCCAAAAATCTCAAATTTGGACTCATCAGACCAAAAAACAGATTTCCACCGGTCTAATGTCCATTGCTCGTGTTTCTTGGCCCAAGCCTGTCTCTTCTTCTTATTGGTGTCCTTTAGTAGTGGTTTCTTTGCAGCAATTCGACCACGAAGGCCTGATTCACACAGTCTCCTCTGAACAGTTGATGTTGAGATGTGTCTGTTACTTGAACTCTGTGAAGCATTTATTTGGGCTGCAATTTCTGAGGCTGGTAACTCTAATGAACTTATCCTCTGCAGCAGAGATAACTCTGGGTCTTCCTTTCCTGTGGCGGTCCTCATGAGAGCCAGTTTCATCATAGCGCTTGATGGTTTTTGCGACTGCACTTGAAGAAACTTTCAAAGTTCTTGAAATGTTCCGTATTGACTGACCTTCATGTCTTAAAGTAATGATGGACTGTCGTTTCTCTTTGCTTATTTGAGCTGTTCTTGCCATAATATGGACTTAGTCTTTCACCAAATAGTGCTATCTTCTGTGTACCACCCCTACAGTGGCTTGCGAAAGTATTCACCCCATTGGCATTTTTCCTATTTTGTTGCCTTACAACCTGGAATTAAAATTGATTTTTTGGGGGTTTGTATCATTTGATTTACACAACATACCTACCACTTTGAAGATGCAAAATATATTTTGTTGTGAAACAAACTTGAAATACGACAAAAAAACAGAAAACTTGAGCGTGCATAACTATTCACCCCCCCAAAGTCAATACTTTGTAGAGCCACCTTTTGCAGCAATTACAGCTGCAAGTCTCTTGAGGAATGTCTCTATAAGCTTGGCACATCAAGCCACTGGGATTTTTGCCCATTCTTCAAGGCAAAACTGCTCCAGCACCTTCAAGTTGGATGGGTTCCGATGGTGTACAGCAATCTTTAAGTCATACCACAGATTCTCAATTGGATTGAGGTCTGGGCTTTGACTAAGCCATTCCAAGACATTTAAATGTTTCCCCTTAAACCACTCAAGTGTTGCTTTAGCAGTATGCTTAGGGTCATTGTATTGCTGGAAGCTGAACCTCCGTCCCAGTCTCAAATCTCTGGAAGACTGAAACAGGTTTCCCTCAAGAATTTCCCTGTATTTAGCGCCATCCATCATTCTTTCAATTCTGACCAGTTTCCCAGTCTCTGCCGATGAAAAACATCCCCACAGCATGATGCTGCCACCACCATGCTTCACTGTGGGGATGGTGTTCTCAGGGTGATGAGAGGTGTTGGGTTTGCGCCAGACATAGCGTATTCCTTGATGGCCAAAAAGCTAAATTTTTGTCTCATCTGACCAGAGTACCTTCTTCCATATGTTTGGGGAGTCTCCCACATGCCTTTTGGCGAACACTAAACGTGTTTGCTTATTTTTTTCTTTAAGCAATGGCTTTTTTTCTGGCCACTCTTCTGTAAAGCACAGCTCTGTGGAGTGTATGGCTTAAAGTGGTCCTATGGACAGATACTCCAAGCTCCGCTGTGGAGCCTTGAAACTCCTTCAGGGTTATTTTTGGTCTCTTTGTTGCCTTTCTGATTAATGCCCTCCTTGCCTGGTCCGTGAGTTTTGGTGGGCGGCCCTCTCTTGGCAGGTTTGTTGTGGTGCCATATTCTTAAATTTTTAATAATGGATTTAATGGTGCTCCGTGGGATGTTCAAAGTTTCAGATATTTTTTTATAACCCAACCCTGATCTGTACTTCTCCACAACTCTGTCCCTGACCTGTTTGGAGAGCTCCTTGGTCTTCATGGTGCTGCTTGCTTGGTGGTGCCCCTTGCTTAGTGGTGTTGCAGACTCTGGGGCTTTTCAGAACAGGTGTATAGATACTGAGATCATGTGACATATCATGTGACACTTAGATTGCACACAGGTGGACTTTATTTAACTAATTATGTGACTTCTGAAGGTAATTGTTTGCACCAGATCTTATTTAGGTGCTTCATAGCAAAGGGGGTGAATTCATATGCACGCACTACTTTTCCGTTATTTATTTTTCCATTTCACTTCACCAATTTTGACTATTTTGTGTATGTCCATTACATGAAATCAAAATAAAAATCTATTTAAATTACTGTTTGCAATGCAACAAAATAGGAAAAACGCCAAGGTGGGTGAATACTTTTGCAAGGCACTGTACCTTGTCACAACTGATTGGCTCAAATGCATTAAGAAGGAAATAAATTCCACATATTAACTTTTAACAAGGCACACCTGTTAATTTAAATGCATTCCAGGTGACTACCTCATGAAGCTGGTTGAGAGAATGCCAAGAGTGTGCAAAGCTGTCATCAAGGCAAAGGGTGGCTACTTTGAAGAATCTCAAATATTTATTTAACACTTTTTTGGTTACTACATGGTTCCATATGTGTTATTTCATACTTTTGATGTCTTCACTATTATTCTACAATGTAGAAAATAGTACAAATGAAGGAAAACCCTTGAATGAGTAGGTGTGCCCAAACTTTTGACTGGTACTGTATATCGCAGTGCAACAGTGGCAGGCTACTTAATGATATCATATTTTTGTGCAATGTCTCTAATGGTTATACCCTGGTGTGTTGCTTGGCTGAGTTAGATGAGTTAGATGTCTCTAATGGTTATACCCCGATGTGTTGCTTGGCTGAGTTACATTAGTTAGATTGTGTGTGTGTGTGTGTGTGTGTGTCTCTCTCTCTCTCTCCCTCTGTGTATGGGGTGTGTGTGTGTCTCCCTCTCTCTCTGTGTATGGGGTGTGTGTGTGTGTCACTCTCTCTGTGTGTATGGTGTGTGTGTGAGATATGGGGGGGGGGGGGGGGGGGGATATTTACTAACACTGATACAATGACTGCAGCCTCCATAGAAAACCACTTGTTCTAGTTCTATGACCTAATTATAAACAGCAGCCACTGAAACCAAAACAGACTAAAAGCATCTCACACAACAACGCTGGCCAGACATACAGTATACAAACAATGTACTTAGGCATAGCTAGAAAAGGACATATACCACATTCTTCTAAAGTCTTCCGTTTTAACGACAGGCTCTGCCTTTTCCATCAAAGCTTTTGACAAAATGTGTGGAAACTTGAGTCAGGTTTAGGTGTAACTTACTGCGACCTGTGCTGATGTTGGGGACAGACTTTGTAAAACAGAATATAGGCCCTAAAGTCCTAGAATGACACTAGAATGTGCTTCATATCACTCTTTCCTGGGTCCCTTGTATTAAAGCTAAATTTCATGCAAACATACTGAGCTACATGAGAGTCTTTTTAGGGAAAATACTTACAGAAAGTTATACCATATCTTGTTACAGCAGAGCAGTATGTTTCCCAGGGGGCCGTGGGGCTCTATAGATTCCCTATGTCCGTCTGTCCTTTTGTCTGTCCAGCCGTCCATTTGTCTGTCTGTCTGTCTGTCTGACCATTTGTCTGTCTGTCTGTGTGTCTGTTTGTCCGGCTGTCTGTCTGTCTGTTTGTCTGTCTGTCTGTAGAGGATGCAGTGGAATACTGATGGTGGTAAAGGTGCAGGTTGCATGTTTCGTTGATTGAGGTCACCAAATACTGTCTGTATGAAGCTATAGATTCACATCTGGTCCTAGCGAGAAACACTTGTATTGTTGTACAATTCTCTTGGCGTATCAATATCTTATTCATAACAGAAAGGAAAGGTATGTGTTTGGTGCTATTGGCACTCCTCTGCCAATAGCAGGCATAAGAGGCCGGCTGAAGTTGAGTTGCTACACCAGATGAACCCATAGTGGCTGTATGTATTGTGATCAGTAAATATATTCAGGGAGACCTCCCCAACCGACCACTGTTTGTTTCTGGTGTCTATGTCAGGAGCAGCGTCGAGCCACAAATAGTGTCTATGGGAAACGTTACCCCATAACGATGACTCAAGGTGAGTCTCCGTGGCGCCCGATAGACTCTGTCACCTCTCCTGTTCCCCACCCTTTCCCCATAGCTATCAGACAGATAGGAGAACCACCCTCCCCTCCCTCCCCACACCAGCCCCCACAGGAGGACAGTCTCGTACTAGCAGACGTTTAGCCCAACACTCTGATGTGAGCGCTAATGGTCTGATTGATGTCCACCGGTTACTATGAAGCCATGCGTCACAACTCTGGAAATTAGCTGGGGATCCTTTACCTTAGCTCCATTTGTTTGCTCTGAGGACACTGCTATGAGACTCTGCTCTGAAATCTAGGACAGTGAGGAGGAGAATTCACACTGTATGGGGTCAGACTGATGGCTGATGGGTAGACTAGGGAGCTACAGGTGACCTGCTGTCTGGTTGTTGAGTTGAACACAGCTTTATTGTATTCATTAGGCCACACAACGGAAAACACTTTAAAACGCTTTGCAACGGAAAACAAAAATTAGCATTTCTAATTGGACAAGTCTCAGTTTGGTGTCTAATGAAGACATCTGGGATACAGTGTCCTGACTGCTGTCCTGCAGATATAGAAGAGAGATGTGTTCCCCAGACTAAGGGAGCTCCCAGGCAGTCTTAAAGGAGGCTGCTGGAGCTGATTAGGATCTCTCCTGTCCTCTCTCCCAGTCTCCCATCTTCCATGTCCTAGCCCAGAGTCTCTGTGTCTGTCTGTCTGTCTGTCTGTCTGTCTGTCTGTCTGTCTGTCTGTCTGTCTGTCTGTCTGTCTGTCTTTCTGTCTGTCTGTCTGTCTGCCTGCCTGTCTGTCTGTCTGTCTGTCTGTCTGTCTGTCTGTCTGTCTGTCTGTCTGTCTGTCTGTCTGTCTGTCCTCCCTCTTTATCATACATACTCTCTTTGTCATTGTATGACAGTAACAAAGTATTCACCAAATCTCATTCTCTTCTCAACCAATTAAGTCTTCTTCTTGTAGCATGGTGTTGTACTTATTTCTTTACTATGAAGATACTGTACATGCAGACAGGAAGTAGCAGACATAGATTATCTACAGTGCTCAATGAGAACTAGAACTATAAGGCCCAGTGCAGTCATTTCCATGTGTTTTATATATATTTCCACGCTATGAGGTTGGAATAATACTGTGAAGTATCATAATGCCCTTTTAGTGTAAGAGCTGTTTGAAAAGACCGCCTGAAATTTCAGCCTGTTTTGATGGGATGTAGTTTTGACCTGCCTGGTGTCATTACCTGCTAAGAAGCTATTTTGGTTCCTTTTGACCATTTTAATTGAAAACAATCACAGTAAGGTATTTCATTGTTACTCAGAAATGCTATGATATTGAGATAAAAACGGCTGCATTGGACCTTTAAGATATCAGTCTAGAGGTCTGTGGTAACCACATCATGGTAGTAGTGGCCTGTTCTATCTCTGTTAGTCTGAGGCAGCCTTAAAATGAACTTCCCCATTTGTAGTACTGTCATTGTTGCTGTGAACTAAGGGTGTGTCCTGTGTGCACGTATGTGTTCTCACGTGTGTGTTTTTCAGACCCGGAGTGGGCGTCCTACACCCTGGGTGTGTTTGTGTGTCAGAGCTGCTCGGGCCTCCATAGAAACATCTACCAGATCAGCAAAGTCAAGTCTGTCCTGCTGGACCCATGGAGTGATGCGGAGGTAGAGGTGAGTCTGTCCTGCTGGACCCATGGAGTGATGCGGAGGTAGAGGTGAGTCTGTCCTGCTGGACCCATGGAGTGATGCGGAGGTAGAGGTGAGTCTGTCCTGCTGGACCCATGGAGTGATGCGGAGGTAGAGGTGAGTCTGTCCTCTGGACCCATGGAGTGATGCGGAGGAAAAGGTGAGTTGAGTTTGCCATTGGTTCTGTGTGTGTGTGTTAGCCCTACGCTTTGTGTCTGTCTGTCTGTCTGTCTGTCTGTCTGTCTGTGTGGTGTGTTTTGTGTGTGTGTGTGTGTGTGTCTTGTGGGCAGTGTTGTGAGGAAAGCCTCTCAGCCCTAATTCTGGCAGGATTGATGCAGGGAGGGAAAGAAAGTGAAAGAAGGGAGATGGAGATGGAGACCAAATGAGTTGCAAGGAAGACAGAATGAGAGAAAAATGTGGGAGGCTAGAGATAAGGGGGAGGTGTCAAGGTATGGTATTGATCTTGTGTGCATGCCAGCACAGTGCATGTGTGTGTATGTATGTGCATGTATGCATGAGTGTGTGTGCGTGTGTGCATGTGTGTCTTTGTATGCATGACTGTGTGTGTGTGTGTGTGTGTGTGTGTGTGTGTGTGTGTGTGTGTGTGTGTGTGTGTGTGTGAGTGAAACCCAGCTCATGAAACATCTGTTTCTCTCTGTGATTGCAGTTTATGGCGTCCAACGGCAACGATGCTGCTAAAGCCAAATACGAACAGAAAGTGCCTGCTTTCTACTACCGTCCTACACACACAGACTGCCAGTAAGTGACTTGGTCCCTGGCCCCTGGCCCCTGGGCCCTGGCCCCACTTGGCCCGCTGGCCTAACCACCCACCCCTTCATGCCCTGCTCCAGGTCCCTCAGCTGGGTCACCTCTGTCTGTGTGACTGCTCCACCCATCCTCTAAACACTGTAACGGAACACAAGACAGAGGCTAGATTGGTAACCAAAAGCATGAACAAACGTCTGCAGTCATGGGTTACCAAACTTCACCAAACGTCTGCAGTCATGGGTTACCAAACTTCACCAAACGTCTGCAGTCATGGGTTACCAAACTTCACCAAACGTCTGCAGTCATGGGTTACCAAACTTCACCAAACGTCTGCAGTCATGGGTTACCAAACTTCACCAAACGTCTGCAGTCATGGGTTACCAAACTTCACCAAACGTCTGCAGTCATGGGTTACCAAACTTCACCAAACGTCTGCAGTCATGGGTTACCAAACTTCACCAAACGTCTGCAGTCATGGGTTACCAAACTTCACCAAACTTCTGCAGTCATGGGTTACCAAACTTCACCAAACGTCTGCAGTCATGGGTTACCAAACTTCACCAAACGTCTGCAGTCATGGGTTACCAAACTTCACCAAACGTCTGCAGTCATGGGTTACCAAACTTCACCAAACGTTACCAACTTTAAACTTGTGGACTTCTCATTGGCACGCCTGTAAAATGACACCTTCTCAAAAGACTAAATGAGTTATAGTCATATGGAGGAAACTCCACTTAGAGTCTAGGAGGTAGAGCCATTACCAGATGTTGGTTACCTATACAGGTTCCTCCTTTCAGGTGTGCAACGTTTAGTCATCAATGGCAGAGGCCAGAGGAAAGGCAACAGTTTGGAATGCAGCCACAGTGCATTCCTTGTCTTACGTCAGATAGCGCGACGATTCCGCTTGCACTGGTTGAGGGACGAGCGTAGGAGTGACATTACTGGTTGTAAGACAATGGCCACAGTGTTGACAGGCAGAACAGTACCCTTCAAAAGGAGTCATCAGCCTGGTTCTCCTGGGTGATAACAGTCCCACTGGGAACAGACGTCAGTTCAACGTCTAGTTTTTAATTTACATTTGGTTGAGTTGTCAACTAACGTGAATTCAATGTGAAATCAACAAAATATTTCACCATGTCATTGGATTTAGATAACAAAAATAGAAAGAGTAGCACACACAAGAGAGCGGAGTCGGTTGATGAGGCGTGGTAGAGAGGCTAGAAAGAGTAGAACACACGAGAGAGAGAGCAAACACACACACACAGTCTCAGGCTTTATACGTTTGTGTTTGTCTGTTCATATTGCCTGTGTGCATGTTAAGACGGATTACTGATAAGACAGACCGAGCGAAGAGAGAGAGATAGTGAGGGAAAGTGTTGAAAGACAAGGGTGGGGATGAAGGGAGGGGGGGGAGGGAGGGAGGGAAGAAGACGTGGAATGAGTGATCAATTCAGAGCGAGTCCGAGGGAATTGGAGAGAAGGGTGTCAAAGTATGTTTATGGGTGATTGTCCATTCCAATCATTTCTGTAATCAAAATCCTGATTATTTGACAGGGCAGAGGAGCAATATAATATTTAAAAGATAAGTACTGCATTATAGATTCACTGGATGAGAACTCCAGGGTTGTGTTCATTAGGCACCAAACGGACTGCAACAAGGAGGAACTATCTGGACTGGTCCAATAAGAAATACTCCTTTTTGTGTTCCGTTGCAAAACATTTTCAGTTGCGTGCCCTAATGAACACCACCCTGATCTGTCATCCATGTTGGTTAATGAGATATTATTGACAGTGAATCTTTTCAAGCATAAACACAGTAAATATAGTAAACAAACACCAACTGTTTCTGCAGGCTCCTTCGGGAACAGTGGATCAGAGCCAGATACGAGAGGAATGAGTTTGTGTGTGTGGAGAGACAGGAGCCTTACTCTGCAGGTAAGACTGAGTACACACGCGCACGCGCATGCGCACGCGCACACACACTCACACTCACACTCACACTCACACTCACACTCACACACACAAACGCATGCACATGCACACATGCATACAAACAAGCACACATGCACACACTCACACACACACACACACATGCACGCACACGCACATACACACACACACTCACACTCACACACACAAACGCATGCACATGCACACATGCATACAAACAAGCACACATGCACACACACACACACACACACACACACACACACACACACACACACACACACACACACACACACACACACTGAGCCTGAGTCTTTGTCTCTGTCTTTATTCTCTCACCACAGTGTGCTTCTCAACACCCCTGCATTCCACACTCAGAGAATAATGGACTTTCTAGGGCTGAACAGATGATAAAATCAGTAGTGAAAGAAAGACAGAGAGATAAATAGTGAGTGGGACAGAGATAGAGAAGAAAGAAAGAAGCCTCAACATTACCTCTCTTTCCTGGAAATCAATTAAAATAATATCAAAGGCCATTCAACTTTGAGAGATTTGACTGTCTTTGAGACTGTCTTTGGCACCCCAATGGTGGAACAAGCTCCCTCACGACGCCAGGACAGCGGAGTCACTCACCACCTTCCGGAGACATTTGAAACCCCACCTCTTTAAAGAATACCTGGGATAGGATAAAGTAATCCTTCTACCCCCCCCCCCCCCCCCCCCTTACTCCAACCCCCCCACCTAAAAATAATAATAAAAATAAATAAATAAATAAAATTGTAAAGTGGTTATCCCACTGGCTATAAGGTGAATGCACCTATTTGTAAGTCGCTCTGAATAAGAGCGTCTGCTAAATGACGTAAATGTAAATGTAAATGTAAATGTAATTTCTCGTGCTTCATTCCATTCATGTCGATTCATCATTGTTAGGCCTACATCATGTTATCTCAGGACCACATGAGCAGTAAAGAGCTTGTTACATGGAGACGGTAATACAATAAGCCTTGTAAGTGCCGCCTTGTCATCTGGCTTCAGCGACCGCCACATTGCTGTCCTGTCCTTTCCTTTACAAAAGGCCTCTGTGATGCAGAAAGACAGACAGAAATGTGCTAACAGAGTTGGGTAGTTTCTAAATGTCATCCATTACAGTTACTAGTTACCTGTCCAAAATTGTAATCAGTAACGTAACTTTAGGATTACCCAAACTCAGTAACATAATCAGATTATTTTCAGTTACTTTTGGATTACTTCCCCTTAAGAGGCATTAGAAGAAGACAAAAAGGATCCATCAAACACATTTGGTGTCATCATAGTGGTCTCTGACCTGTGGTCAGACTCACTAAAACTTAAACTTGTACCTTTTTTCAATGCTGAATTGAAAAACCATTAAGAAAACTGAAAGGTGTGACAATGTATTTTCTTTTCTCACAAACATCCTCTCCGAATGTAAAAGTAATCCAAGCAGGAATCATCTACATTTTCAAAAGTATCTGTAATCAGATTACAATATTATTTGGGTGAACAGATTACTCACACACACACACACACACACACACACACACACACACACACACACACACACACACACACACACACACACACACACACACACACACACACACACACACACACACACACACACACACACACACACACACACACACACACACACACACACACACACACACACACACACACAGTCAGTCAAACAGTCAGCCACTCAGTGTTAGCCACTCAGTCAGTCAGTCAGTCAGTTAGTCTGTCATGAGTCAGTTAGTCGATCAGTCAGTTAGTCATTCAGTCGGTCAGTCGGTTAGTCAGTCAGTCACTCAATCAGTCAATTAGTCAGTCGGTCAGTCAGTCATTCAGTCAGTCATCATATAGTCGGGCATCATCATTATCTCTCTGGTGAGTGTCTCTGTCCTCTATTCTCTCTGCCACCACAGAGGAATCAGCCTTAAAGGGATAGTTTGGATTTTGCTGACTTCCCCGAGGTCAGATGAACTCGTGGATACCATTTTTATGTATCTGCGTCCAGTATGAAGCTGGACTCTGGGGAGCATGTTAGTCTTTGTGCTAATGCCAATTAGCATTGGCTCGCGAAAATACATTGCGAAAAGAACTTCCTTCAAAATGGACGCAGATACATTTGTATTTGTATTTATTATGGATCTCCATTAGCTGCTGCCAAGGCAGATTTCACAACATATTAAGTGTGTGCCCTCAGGCCCCTACTATACTACCACATATCTACAACACAAAATCCATGTGTACGTGTGTGTATAGTGCGTATGTTATCGTGTGTTTGTATGCATGTGTTTGTGCCTGTGTTTGTGTTGCTTCACAGTCCCCGCTGTTCCATAAGGTCTATTTTTTAAATGTATTTGTATCTAATTTTACTGCTTGCATGAGTTACTTATTGTGGAATAGAGTTCCATGTAGTCATGGCTCTATGTATTACTGTGCACCTCCCATATTCTGTTCTGGACTTGGGGACTGTGAAGAGACCTCTGGTGGCATGACTTGTGGGGTATGCATGGGTGTCCGAGCTGTGTGCCAGTAGTTCAAACAGAAAGCTCGGTGCATTCAACATGTCAATACCTCTCACAAATACAAGTAGTGAGGAAGTCAATCTCTCCTCCACTTTGAGCCAGGAGAGATTGACATGCATATTATTAATGTTAGCTCTCTGTGTACATCTGAACAGTAGTCCAGGTGCGAAAAAACTAGGGCCTGTAGGACCTGCCTTGTTGATAGTGCTGTTAAGAATGCAGAGCAGCGCTTTATTATGGACAGACTTCTCCCCATCCTAGCTACTGTTGTATCAATATGTTTTGACCATGACAGTTTACAATCCAGGGTTACTCGAAGCAGTTTTGTCTCCTCAACTTGCTCAACTTGCTCAATTACCACATTATTCATTACATGATTTAGTTGAGGTTTAGGGTTTAGTGAATGATTTGTCCCAACTACAATGCGTTTCGTTTTTGAAATATTTAGGACTAAGTTATTCCTTGCCACCCATTCTGAAACTAACTGCAGCTCTTTATTAAGTGTTGATGTCATTTCAGTCGCTGTGGTAGCTGACATGTATAGTGTTAAATCATCCGCATACTGGCTTTACTCATACGTTTTTCCAGAAACAGACTATGATCGATAATGTCAAAAGCCGCACTGAAGTCTAACAAAACAGACCCCACAATCTTTTTATCATCAATTTCTCTGAGCCAATCATCAGTCATTTGTGTAAGTGCTGTGCTTGTTGAATGTCCTTCTCTATAAGCATGCTGAACTTCTGTTGTCAATTTGTTTACTGTAAAATAGCATTGTATCTGGTCAAACACAATTTTTGGTAAAAGGCTGATTGGTCGGCTATTTAAGCCAGTAAAAGGGGCTTTACTGTCCTTAGGTAGGGGAATAACTTTTGCTTCCCTCCAGGCCTGAGGGCACACACTTTCTAGTAGGCTTAAATTGAAGAACGGCAAATAGGAGTGGCAATATTGTCCGCTATTATCCTCAGTAATTTTCCATCCAAGTTGTCAGACCCTGGTGGCTTCCACACTTACTTTACAGAATTCAAAATTACAATGCTTGTCTTTCATAATTTGGTCAGCGTTTGTTGCTGGCATGTCATGCCTAAGTTTGCTAATCTTGCCAATTAAAAAATCATTCAAGTAGTTGGTAATATCAGTGGGGTTTGTGGAATGAGCCATAAAAATGGTATCCACAAGTTCATCTGACTCCGGGGAAGTCAGAAAAATCCAAACTATCTCTTTAACATAGTCACTCACACTCCTACTGCCAGTGACTCTTGTCTCAGCTGACTCTGGTGTTAGATCTGACCTGGGGTCTGTCAGCTGTGATCTCTGTTTGCGCGGGTGGTACTGTAGAGAGTGACGTGGCTGTACCAGGATCAGGCCAGTGCCAGTGGCTGGATGGTGGGTGTGTTCTGGGTGACAGGGTCCTGTTATCCCCAGTGTCCCGTGACTGTCAACACTTCTCTTTCTATGTGTCTATCTCCATCTGTCTGTCTCTCTGTTTCCCTCTCTATCTGTCCATCTGTCTCTCTGTTTCTCTATCTGTCTCTCTGTTTCTCTCTCTATCTGTCTCTCCATCTGTCTCTCTATTTCTCTATTTCTCTCTCTCTCTCTTTTTCTCTCTCTCTCTCTCTCTCTCTCTCTCTCTCTCTCTCTCTCTCTCTCTCTCTCTCTCTCTCTCTCTCTCTCTCTCTCTCTCTCTCTCTCTCTCTCTCTCTCTCTCTCTCTCTCTCTCGACCAGAGCATGATGACTTCATCACTACACCAAGAAGAGAGGGAGGGAGGGATGAAGAGAAAGAGGCAGGGATGGAGAGCGGGAGGACAGAAGGGAGAGGAGGTAGGGATGGAGAGAGGGAGGACAGAAGGAAGAGGGAGGTAGGGATGGAGAGAGGGAGGACAGAAGGGAGGGGAGGGAGGGATGGAGAGAGGGAGGACAGAAGAGAGGGAGGTAGGGATGGAGAGAGGGACAGAAGAGAGAGGGAGGTAGGGATGGAGAGAGGGACAGAAGAGAGAGGGAGGTAGGGATGGAGAGAGGGACAGAAGAGAGAGGGAGGTAGGGATGGAGAGAGGGACAGAAGAGAGAGGGAGGTAGGGATGGAGAGAGGGAGGACAGAAGGGAGGGATGGAAGAAGAAAGGGAGTGTTTCTTACTTCCAGCACGTTTCCCTAAAGGCCTTTGCAGACTGTACGTCGGATTCAGTCATTCATGATTATCACGTCACACTGTGCGATGTTGCCAAATAAAAATCTTGATATCAACCTGGCAAGATTTTACAATTTGCTTCAGTTCTGTGATTGGCGACATCAGCCGACGTAGGCTACGTAAACTGCAGTGGTGTTTTTGATCTGCACATGTGCCAGCACCAGCAGCGCCAGCCTCTCTCTATGCTTATGCGCGAGTGAACTGAAAGTATGAATCTTAGAAATAGTTTTCACATACAAACTTTTTGTCCGAACTCAGAATCAAAAAAACATGGTCGCTGTGGTAGAACGTTTATTTTGATAGCTAATTTTTTGCATTTGGTAGCCTGATTTCAGATGTGTCGTGTAAACAAGATTATTAGGGAAATCGGTCTTCTTGCACAGCATGTAAACATTTAAATCAAATTATTATATTAATCTCACTATTCACAATAATCGTATTATTGTGTGCATACTCAGTGCCAGCCGTCTTCCTATTGGTCAGTCACTGGGGTTGGCTCGTAACACCAGCCACACACTACACAATAAAGGCGAAAAAATCCTGACACTGCCAGAACTTTGTTGGAGCCTACGACCGCATGTAGTGGTACTTAATCGGACCCTGTCACACTGAATGACCCAAGACGTCCGAAAATCATTTACGACCTAAGAATTTTCCCACGACGTGGACAATTTGTCTGAGACGGCAAAATGTTGGCATAAGACAGCTAAAATGGTGCAGTCTGCAAAAGCCTTAAGGAGAATGGAACACTTTCACAGCAGTATTAACTGAGATTAACTGACACTCTGCTATTCATTCTTCAGTCTCATTCTTTCACTCTGTTGTCTGTCTTTTAGTGCATTGCAGTGTAATGGGATTTGATAGTTTGATAGTAATATTCTATTCACGTGTGTGTGTGTGTGTGTGTGTGTGTGTGTGTGTGTGTGTGTGTGTGTGTTGCGTGCGTGCGTGTGTCCATGTGTGACTCATTGCTGTGTTGGTAGAGTTGACAGTACGATGTGTGTGTGTGTGTAGGGCAGTGACAGTGCAGTTCTGCTCCTAGTTGTCTCTGTCTGTTGGCTGAGACTGAGTGAGGACAGAGAGGCCAGTGACAGGAACAGACAGGGAGCACAGAGCCATGGTGTGTATGTGTGTGTGTGTGTGTGTGTGTGTGTGTGTGTGTGTGTGTGCTTTCTGAATAGGGTAGAGTGTTGATTTCAGCATCGATCATAATGTTGGAGGAAGCAATTGATCTCTGCTGAGACAATTCAAGGTGAATTATTCATGGAAGCTAAAGGCCAAGACAACAGACATCACCACCTTAACCCTGCCTCAGCACATCACAGAGGATGGTGACCTGGGAGTTTAGATACGTGCACACACACACACACACACAGAATCCACTGGACCCCAGCTTCACTACTGAATCCTGTTCTATCCTTTTTAATCCTGCCCTCTGTGTTGTTTTTGTTTCTCTCCCTTTTACGCTCTCCTCCTCTCCTCTCCTGCTCTCACTCCTCCTCTCCTCTCCTGCTCTCACTCCTCCTCTCCTCTCCTGCTCTCACTCCTCCTCTCCTCTCCTGCTCTCACTCTTCCTCTCCTCTCCTGCTCTCACTCCTCCTCTCCTCTCCTGCTCTCACTCCTCCTCTCCTCTCCTGCTCTCACTCCTCCTCTCCTCTCCTGCTCTCACTCCTCCTCTCCTCTCCTGCTCTCACTCCTCCTCTCCTCTCCTGCTCTCACTCCTCCTCTCCTCTCCTGCTCTCACTCCTCCTCTACTCTCCTGCTCTCACTCCTCCTCTCCTCTCCTGCTCTCACTCCTCCTCTCCTCTCCTGCTCTCACTCCTCCTCTCCTCTCTTGCTCTCACTTCTCCTCTCCTCTCCTGCTCTCACTCCTCCTCTCCTCTCCTGCTCTTTCTCCTCCTCTCCTCTGCACCTTTGTCTTTGGAATGGGACCCCTGTGGTTCCTCTCCTTGCAGGGTACCGAGAGGGGTTTCTATGGAAACGGGGCCGAGATAACGGACAGTTCCTGAGCCGAAAATGTATTCTGTCAGAGCGGGATGGCGCTCTGAAGTACTTCAACAAGCATGATGTGAGTGTAGTGCTATATCCCCCCCCCCCCCCCCCCCCCCCCCCCCTCTCTCTCTCTCTCTCTCTCTCTCTCTGATGGGGGACAACACTGGCATAAAATAGCAAACCTTGCTAGTGACTGTAGTTACTAGAGGAAGCTTGTAGGTGATTGTTCTGCAGCTGAACGATGATGATGATGATAATGATGGCTACAACGATGATGATGGTGATGGTGGTGGTGGTAGTGGTGATGGTGGTGGTGGTGATGATGATGATGATGGTGGTGATGGTGGTGGTGGCGATGATGATGTTGGTGGTCGTGATGATGGTGATGGTGATAATGATGATGGTGGTGGTGATGATGATGGTGGTGGTGATGAGGATGGTAGGGTGATGATGGTGCTGGTGATGAGGATGGTGGGGGTGATGATGGTGGTGGTGGTGATGGTGATGATGGTGGTGGTGGTGATAATGATGATGGTGGTGATAATGATGATGGTAGTGGTGATGGTGGTTGTGATGATGATGATGATGATGATGATGATGATGATGATGATGGTGGTGATAATGATGATGGTGGTGATAATGATGATGGTGGTGGTGATGGTGGTTGTGATGATGATGGTGGTGGTGGTGGTGGTGGTGGTGATGATGGTGGTGGTGGTGGTGATGATGGTGGTGATAATGATGATGGTGGTGGTGATGGTGGTGGTGATAATGATGATAGTAATAATGATATGGTGGTGGTGATAATGATGGTGATGATGATTGTAGTGGTGGTGATGATGATGGTGATGATGATGATGATGATGATGATAATGATGATGATGATGATGGTGATGGTGATGATGATGATGGTGGTGGTGGTGATGATGATGGTGGTGATGATGACAGTGGTGGTGATGATGATGATGATGGTGGTAGTGATGATAATGGTGTTGGTGATGATGATGGTGGTGATGATGACGGTGAGGTGATGAAGATGTATACTCTCTTCCCCCTCCCTTCTCTCCCTGTACAGGCCAGAGAGCCCAAGGCTGTCATGAAGATCCACACCCTGAATGCCTCCTTCCAGCCTAGTAAGATAGGCCAGCCCCACGGCCTGCAGGTCACCTATCTGAAGGACAACAGCACCAGGAACATCTTTGTCTACCACGAGGATGGCAAGGTGAGGTGAACAACTTTGAGGCAATGTTGTGTGGTCATTGGGCGTTTGCTTGGCTGCTGGTGGACACAAACAGACAGTCAGGAAGGTACAGTCGACTCCTGGGCCATGTTCATTAGGGTGCACAACAGAATAAAAAATTAAAACATTCGGAACGGGAAACGAACATGACATTTCTTATTGGATGAGTTGAAGTAGTCCCTCCCTGTTCCAGTTAGTTTTTCTTCTGTTTGGTGTCTAATGAACACGGCCCTGAGCAATGCAGGTCAACAGTCCCATATCAAGTACATTCTCTTGACTTGCTCTGGATATCTGCATGTTCCGGGATGGTTAATTTGCTTTCACACCAGTCCCACACTGTAGCAAAACATTTTGCAACGGAAACAGAAATGAGCGTTTCTTATTGGGCAATTAAGTACCTCCCTGGTTCACTCAGTTTCAAAGCGTTTTCTTCTGTTTCCTGGAGAACACCACCCAGGAGTGGACTGTCTCTATAGACCAGGGGTGTCAAACGTACGGCCCGCGGGCCGGATCAGGCCCGCAAACGGGTTTAATCCGGCCCGCGAGATGATTTTGAGAATTTTTTTATTTTTATTTTTTTTTTAAGTATAAAAATGGGCTGCAATTTTTCAATAAAATAAACTGCTGTTACAATTGCGTCCACTGGATGGCGCAATAGCAATTGTGTTAAGCAAGCAAACTGTTTATACCGGGGCAGAGCAAGTAGGTCAAGCACGTGCAGCCAATGAGCTACTTTGTTTTGCCCGCGATATTTATTACGGCTTCTACTTTTAACATTATTTGCTTTGGCACCCTCATTGCCCCAATATGTCTCTGTCAAAAAAGAGAAAAGTGGACGCAGAGTGCAGAGTGTTCCAAGAAAAATGGTCATCCTATTTATTCACGGAATTGAATGGGAAAGCTGTATGTTTTGTGTGTTCAGAGCATGTTGCAGTGCTGAAAGAATATAACCTTCGTCGCCACTATGTGAGTCTTCATGCCAACAAATATGACAACTTTCAAGGACAGCGGAGATGAGAGAAGGTGAATGAACTGTTGGCGGGTCTGAAGAAACAGCAGTCTGTGTTTACTCACAGCCGAGACATCAGTGACGCTGCAGTGAAAGCTAGATACTTCATTGCTAATGAAATCGCAGTGGCTTCAAAACCATTTAGTGAGGGTGAATTTGTAAAAACATGCATGATGAAGGCAGCGGAGATTGTGTGCCCTGAAAAGCGGCAGGCTTTTGCAAATATCAGCCTGACAAGAAACACAGTTGCAGACAGGATTTCCGATCTTTCAGTGGATTTGGACAGCCAGTTGAAGCAAAAAGTAAAGTCATTTATTGCGTTTTCGGTTGCAATTGATGAAAGCACGGACATTACAGATGTTGCACAACTGGCCATTTTCATCCGCGGAGTTGATGACACATTGACCGTCACCGAGGAGTTCGTGGAGTTGGTGCCGATGACAGATACAACGACAGCAGCTGATATTTTTACCGCACTCGTCGGCGCGCTGGACAGGGTCGGAGTGGACTGGTCCCGCGCTGTCAGCCTGGCTACAGATGGTGCGCCCTCAATGATCGGGAAAAAAGCAGGCGTTGTGACAAAGTTCAGAGAGAAAGTGCAATCTGCAAATGGAGGACGTGATTTTTTGACTTTTCACTGTATTTTGCACCAGGAGGCTTTGTGTTGCAAGTCATTAAAGATGGATAACGTCATGAAGGTGGTCATCCAAACTGTTAATTTCATCCGATCCAGAAGCCTGAATCACCGTCAGTTTGACAGCCTTCTCAGAGAGAAAGACCACACCTATGGCCTGCCATACCACACTGAGGTAAGATGGTTAAGCCGAGGTGCTGTGCTGAGGCGTTCTTTGATTTACGAGAAGAAATTGAACAGTTAATGGAAGAAAAGGGCAAACCAGTGTTAGAATTTCATTCAGCAGAATGGATGCAGGACCTTGCATTTATGGTGGATGTTACAGAGCACCTGAATAACTTGAACAAACAGCTGCAAGGGCGCAACAAAGTTGTCACGCAGTATTATGACAGCGTACGTTCTTTCAAGTTGAAGCTGTCATTGTGGGAGACGCAACTTGCCGGTGGTGATGCAGCTCACTTCCCCTGTCTGAAAAATGTGTGCGCGACCCAACATGTGGCAGACATGAAGCGGTTCAAAGATAAAATAACGGGACTGTTACGGGAGTTTGAGCAACGCTTTCAGATTTATGTTGATGTTTTTATGTTGATGTGCTATTGTTTTTAATTGATTTTATTTGTATATTTAACCTATTCTTGACTCTGTGGTTCTTGCACTTGTTTGGGGAACAGGATTTCATTATTTGTATCTACATTTCTGCCTGAGAAATGACACCCTGATATAGTTCTGTGATCTGTGATATACTTCTGTGAATCACTGAGGCATTGTGTGTTTGTGTGTTCTTTGTCCTCAGAACTTTCAAATAACTTGAGGTGTTTTATGATTAATAGTAATGTTGTGCTTTTGGACACTGTCCTCAGGCTCCAGCTTTATGTTTATATGTTTTTATGTTGATGTGCTATTGTTTTTAATTTATTTTATTTTATTTGTATATTTAACCTATTCTTGACTCTGTGGTTCTTGCACTTGTTTGGGGAACAAGATTTCATTATTTTTATCTACATTTCTGCCTGAGAAATGACATCCTGATATAGTTCTGTGATCTGTGAAACAGTTCTGTTAATCACTGAGGCATTGTGTGTTTGTGTGTTCTTTGTCCTCAGAACTTTCAAATAACTTGAGGTGTTTTATGATTAATAGTGATGTTGTGCTTTTGGACACTGTCCTCAGGCTCCAGCTTTATGTTTATATGTTTTTATGTTGATGTGCTATTGTTTTTAATTGATTTTATTTTATTTGTATATTTAACCTATTCTTGACTCTGTGGTTCTTGCACTTGTTTGGGGAACAGGATTTCATTATTTTTATCTACATTTCTGCCTGAGAAATGACACCCTGATATAGTTCTGTGATCTGTGAAACAGTTCTGTTAATCACTGAGGCATTGTGTGTTTGTGTGTTCTTTTTCTTTAGAATTTTCAAATAAACTTGACGTGTTTTATGATTAATAGTGATGTTGTGCTTGTACTATTTTGGACACACAGTCCTCAGGCTCCAGCTTTATGTTGTATGTTGATCGTATTAAAACAAAGAAAACAATCTGAAGTTGTTGTTTTTAAGTTATATATACCATGATTTTTCCGGTCCGGCCCACTTGGGAATAGATTTTCCTCCATGTGGCCCCTGAGCTAAAATGAGTTTGACACCCCTGCTATAGACTATCAGAAGCATTTATTTTGTGAAGTGGCTGTTGGCATCTGAGTAGGAGTATATCTCCCTCTGCAGGACATACGTTGCAATTGCATGTCTTTAAATACACCCTAAACCTAGTAGGAAATATTCTGAAATCGAAGTCGACTACTGTTTACAGTAATGGTGGATTATTGCCAGGAAAGGGGCTCTATCAGGTGTGTATGGAGGTCGGGGTCGTGTTCAGTGTAGGTAGCACAAAAAGTTTTCTCCCATTTAATGTCAATTGAACAGGACCCAGATCATGTTAGCATGTCTGTTGTGTTTTAAGGAAATGGTGGACTGGTTCAACGCCATCAGAGCAGCCAGATTTCACTACCTACAGGTTGCTTTCCCTGGGGCCCACCACGCTGATGTAAGTCTCTCTCTCTATCTTATTTTCGTGTTCTCTCATTAATCCCTCAGTCCCTTCCTCCCTAGTATACACAGGTATTATATACAGCTGGCCCAATTCTGCTCCCTATCCCTTCTCCTTGGCCTTAACCCTTCAATGTTTGCATATCCCAAGGGTCTTGATAGATATAAGCAGTGTAGTGGCATATCTTCCATCCTATTGCTTATACCTTATGGATCTGCAAACATGGAAGGGTTAGGGCCAATGGGAAGGGGTAGGAAGGGAACTGGGACTGGCTACACACACCATCACATGGTCACAGAATAAAACATTTCTCCTTCTTCTCATGTATTCGTCCAGTTGGTGTCAAAGCTAACACGGAACTACATCAAGGAAGGCTACATGGAAAAGACGGGTCCAAAGGTGAGGTCTTTTAATACTTACACTTTAGTTACTTACACTTTAGTTACTTTGTGACACGACACTTAATGCTTCTAACTTTATCAGCCCATTGGGTTTCACTGTGAATGTGGTTTCATTTGCACCACACAAACGTACCGCGTTAATAACGGCCATTTACAGCCTCAGCCACAGTATATTTGCAGAGCCTGTGAGCTGAATGCCTACCTCATACTGCTTGGTGTTGATAATGTTTTGTTGTTCCAGAATGGGATCCTGTATGTAAGCCAAGAAAGCCATTAGCTATGAGAGTGCAATAAAGTTTATTCGTTAAAGAGGCTATACGGAACCTTTGCCTCTGGGGGTGCTCTGGAACTAAAAGGGGTCCCCTCAATGGACAGAAATATTGCCCAGAAATGACCTCATTGGACAGAAATACATTATTTTTAGGTGAATCATTAGCAACTGAACATCTGTAAAGCCTTTTTAATTCCTTCAACCTCTGTCTCCTATTTCCCTCTTACAGCACACAGAGGGCTTCAAGAAGAGATGGTTCACTATGGATGACAGGAGACTCATGTACTTCAAGGATCCTCTGGTAAGATAGTCAGTGGATAAATTAGGTGCAATGTCATATGGGTCAAAGAGATGGTGCTGTACCATTTCAGTAAATAACTATTAGTAACACTTTATTTAGGGCTTACAGTTCAACAGGCTCCAAAATGACTGATAATAGCTATGATTGATAATCAATTGATAATACCCATTATAAGCAGTTCATTGGTACTTATGCATTATGGCACTTATAGTACAGTGGTACTGAACTAATGTTATTTGCAGGTTATATTATGTAAACAAACATTCAAATTATTTATTGGACCTCATATACAATGTGGCTGGTCAGACACACACTGAGTCTCCTCTCTGTTTCTTTGTGAGGATGCCTATGCGCGCGGTGAGGTGTTCATTGGTAGTAAGGAGAACAGCTACACTGTGCTCCCCGGCCTTCCCCCGTCCACCCAGGGCTACCACTGGCAGTTTGGCATCACCATAGTAACGCCCGACAGGAAGTTTCTATTTGCATGTGAGACCGAGGAGGAGCAGCAGGATTGGATGTCTGCCTTTCAGGGCGTGGTGAACCGACCTATGCTGCCCCAGGAATATGCAGGTAACCACTCACATGACTCTACCCAGGATTTGGCCAAGGAAAACATATACATTTTTTACATTTAGCAGACGCTCTTATCCAGAGCGACTTACAAGAGCAATTAGGGTTAAGTGCCTTGCTCAAGGGCACATCAACAGATTTTTCACCTAGTCAGCTTGGGGATTCGAACCAGCGTCCTTTCGGTTACTGGCCCAACGCTCTTAACCACTAGGATATCTGCCGCCCCCTAGTTTAATAAAATGTGGGGTCTTTTACTATGGGGGATATGTTGAGTAAGGTGTCCATTGGTGGATCTCTCTCTCTCTCTCTCTCTCTCTCTCTCTCTCTCTCTCTCTCTCTCTCTCTCTCTCTCTCTCCTCTCTCTCTCTCTCTCTCTCTCTCTCTCTCTCTCTCTCTATCTATCTATCTGCAGTGGAAGCCCACTTTAAGCACAAGCCCTGAGAGGAGGAGGACAAGAAAGAAAAAGAGGGAGCCTGGACTTGAGGCTAGACTGGAGGCTGGACAAATAGGATCCTTCTCCTCATCTGGAGAAAAATAATGATACAATTAAGGATAAACCACACAGAGCAGTAAAAGAGGGGAGAGAGAGCCCCAGGACTCCAGAGGGGGGTGTTACTGTCCTGTTTCCATAATCCTCTGCTCCGCCTTACCCAAAATCATGCCCATATATAATGAACAAAAATATAAACAGTTCATATAAGGAAATCAGTCAATTGAAATAAATAAATTAGGGCCTAATCTATGGATTTCACGACTGGACAGGGGAGCAGCCATGGGTGGGCATAGGCCCACCCACTTGGGAGCCCAGCCAATCAGAATGAGTTTTTCCCCACAAAAGGGCTTTATTACAGACATAAATACTCCTCAGTTTCATCAGCTGTCTGGGTGGCTGGTCTCAGACGATCCCACAGGTCATCCTGGGCTGGCGTGGTTACACGAGGTCTGCGGTTGTTAGGCCGGTTGGACATACTGCCAAATTCTCTAAAACGACATTGGTATAGAAATGAACATTCAATTCACTTGCAACAGCTCTGGTGGACATTCCTGCAGTCAGCATGTCAATTGCACACTCCCTCAAAACTTGAGACATCTGTGGCATTGTGTTGTATGACAAAACTGCACATTTTAGAGTGGTCATTTATTGTCCCCAGCACAAGGTGCACTTGTGTAATGATCATGCTGTTTAATCAGCTTCTTGATATGCCAGGTGGATGGATTATCTTGGCAAAGGGGAAATGCTCACTAACAGGGATGTAAACTAATTTGTGCACAGAATTTGAGAGAAATAAGCTTTTTGTGAGTATGGAAGATTTCTGGAAACATTTAAACTCATGAAACATGGGACCAACACTTTACATGTTGCGTTTATATTTTTGTTCAGTATAGTTGGAAAGAGAGCCCGGGATTATGTTGACCTCCTTAACTCATAGGAAGTCCCACCAAGTTGACTACATAGCCTTCAATGACACTGCTAGTGCTGAGCGATTAGTGCTTTTTGAGGTCAGTTCAGTTTCGGTTGGATTATAAGAAAATAATCACCGTTTTTTATTTCAATTATTTTTTTAACATGAAATGCACTATGCATTATGTGGGTTGAATGCTGTAACAACACAGAATAAAACAATTAATAAACGTCCCATGATGGTAGTGACTGCCCATTACTGCTTATCACTTATTAACCATCATTTATTCACATTACTTTACTTTAATAAAATATTTCAGTTGTGTATTTACATTTGTTTTATTTGATTACTTTATTATTTAATTCAAAGTCATCATCTCATCTCCATAGAGCTGTCTGACAAAATCACTATTTTGTAGTTCTTCAAAGTAAATAAGGCATACTTTTATATGGGGGGATATGTTGAGTAAGGTGTCCATTGGTGGATCTCTCTCTCTCTCTCTCTCTCTCTCTCTCTCTCTCTCTCTCTCTAAAAGGCATACTTTTATTACTGCTGAATACCAACTATCAATCGCTTAGATCATTTTCAGGTAGAGATACCTCGCGAAGCAACAGCTGCTCTCTATATCCCCTCACGATTGCACATTCTTCTGACTCTTCCATAGCAGGCATAAAAGATACACAGAATGGACAAGTAGATACACAATGGATTATGGTCATTGTAGTTAATTACCATGTTTTATGCGCTAAACTATGTAGAATATTAGCCCTGTTGGAAACTAAATCTCCCTACTATATCGCACAGTTCAGGCTGTATCTAATTTATCTCTAGAAAACTGTGCAACGTGTGCATTGAGCTCACAGAAAGAACCCTGAACAAAATGGAATTCAAATAATTTAACCGACGTCAGTCAATTAGTTGTTTAAAAACCGGAAAATAACCGACATTTCGGTTAATGGCTCAGCACTAGGCGCTGCACATGCTAAAACAGATTTTCTGGCAAGTGCACCCGCTATCCATCTCTATGATCCTGCCTCATGTATTTGCAGATTCAGCTTTGTGCCAACCTCACCCTCTATCCAACTATATGATCCTGCTTCATGTATCTCCAGACTCAGCTTTGTGCCAACCTCACCCTCTACCCAGCTCTCTGATCATGCCTCATGTATCTCCAGACTCAACTTTGTGCCAACCTCACCCACTACCCAACTCTATGATCCTCCTGCCTTATGTATCTCCAGACTCAGCTTTGTGCCAACTCCACTCTCTAAGTCACTTTATCTTTCCATGTCATGCAGTTGGACTCAGGTGTACGTCTGAAATGGCACCCTATTCCCTATAAAGGACCTTTATAGGGCTCTGGTAGTAGTAGTGCAGTATAGGGAATATGGGTCAATTTTGGACGCACACACTGTTAATCAGAATCAGCTTTATTCGCCAAATACATTTACATATACCCAGAATTTGGCTTAGTGCTGCCAACAGTAGACACATAGACATCATACAGAATATACAACATCAGAACAGTAACCATAAAACATCAAACTCTGGAGTATAGGCTGATTACAGTGGGAATATACCATTTACAGAGGGGATATATCTATATAAGCAGAGGGAGGGATGCTGCTATGGATACAGTGTTGTACAGAGGTGTACATAGTGCAAAGGCAGTATAGTGTAGATTAGTATTTGAGGTCATTGATGACAAGGTGCAGTAATCAGCCCAATAAAAAGTCATGTGAATGTTCTCCTAACTAATCTGTCCTACATTTGTCGTGAGAAAATAACTTTTACAAAATGTCAAGTTTTACAAAAATATACAAGTGGTATATGTGTAATGTTGGCTCCTGGACTGAATGTACGGGCGTGGTGGACCTTGTTTGTTAAATTATATGCTATACTAGCCTGGTCCCAGATCTGTTCATGCTGTCTTGCTAAAGTCCTATGGCCATTTAGCAAGACAGTTGGCAAAACCGCACAAACAGATTTGGGACCAGGCTAATGTTATGATGCTTTGGAGTTGGAAAATAACTTGATAGTAAATATTTTCCTTCTTCTCTTTTGAGACTGGACTGAATAATATATTTCAAGGCCAGTGGGAACTGACTGAATGTGATAGGGCCATTTTGTGTCTAGTGAATAATATCTGTTCTCAGTCTGTCTAGTAGTTTCCAAAACAGACATTAACACTGTGGATGTATTTCCTTGTTCATTTCTTTGTATTGGTGCAGATGTATATACATTTATTCATCGCTTTGTGTTGTGAAGCTTAACATTGTGACAATCCCTGCAGGTATAGGAACCCAATTTAATTGTATAGCTATGATTGAACTTGAGAGGGAGAATTGTGAATTACTTGAATAGGTTTCTCCAGTGAAAAAAATACTCATTAATATGTCAGTTGATGTTATGGGCCCTGTTCGAATACTTCAGAAATTGCTAATCTAAAGGAAAACATGAAAAGATGCATTTCTAAAGTATTCTAATAGGTCATTTTGGTGTTCTGCCTACAGGTTCTTTCCATATAGTGTATATTATCTTCACCAGCAGAGGGAGACAAAGTCAACACTTTCAACATACGCATTGTATTCAGATTTTTACATTGGGAGAATCTCAATTGGTTTTGCTCGACTCCTCACGTCCTCTCTGCCGCCCTCTCCTGGTGGAAAACGTGGACACAAATGTGCTTGTATAAAATTAGACTTTCCTTCACTCAGGAAAATTGCATTTTCAGAGGAATCTCAAAATATGTGTAAAGTCTTCAAAATAAATGTAGCCAGACATTTTATAGACAAAAGATTTAGTAGCATATAGTTTATAAACGTGTGCATGTGTTTCTCCTCTGAGAAAACAAGAGCTGATTGTGTGGCGGATTTCAAAACGCTTCTATGACATGGAGCCGAGGATACATTTGTGCTTCTTTGCTGGGAGAAGGCTATCAAGGAGGACACTACTCCGTTCGCCTATTAACAAATTGACACTTGCCTACATATGGCGACCACTTTTAGTTTGTTTGGTCACAAAAGAGAAAAGGACTTAGCAGTCGAGAAGAGGACGGAACCAATTGAGAATCTCCCATGATTTCCAATGTATTCTTTTTAAGTGACAAAAAGAGATTGAGACATATTGGATTGGATGAAGAGTCCCAACAATGACTAGTATTTTGTTGTAATCTTTATTGTATTGAACTTTAATTTGAGAAGAAAGTCGTTGCACACTGAAAAGTAGTAAAACATCTCATGAAGGTATAACAATACATTGCCTGGACATCTAATTTCAAGTTATGTAAATACTGTACATTTAATATTCTGTTTCTATGGATGTTGATGGTAATACACTGAAAGTACATTAAGGATCTTTGAGAAATACTTGTGAAATACAGATTATTAACCGAGAACTGATAAAAGACGAGAATCAAACAACATCTTAATTTGTGGTTAAGAAAAAAAAAGAAACAGAAATGTCAGTAGGTAAATATAAAAATCCTTGAAGATTTTCAAAAGATATGAGTCTGATTAAACATTTAAAGATGACAAACACTTTATATACATAACATTCACCATATCCATATATTACAAAAAATAGGCAGAAAAGGAGTTTCGATGATTGAAACAACATGAAACAATACCCTAGTCATAAAGATATTGCAAAAATATTACTGCTTTCCCTTTCTTCATTATTGTATATTTTGTTCCAAATGACTGTACAACACTTTAGACAAAATTCACAACAAATGCTTTTATTTGCTTCAGTTGAGTTCTCTCTAGGTTCAAGGCTTTGTTTTCAAGCTAGGTCTACACTTAACCTCACTTCAAGGACCGAAACCTCTACTAAACATTTACTGGCAGGAAAAGCAAGCAAAAATAAATTCAAGATTTTGTATATCGTAATTAATATTTCCCCCCACAAAAAAATAAATGTATGCATTAACCATAAATCTATTTCTAAAACTTTATTTACTTTAGATTTATTGGACTTGAAATTGCCACTGAATTCAAATCTGCCTTTATTTTGATTGACAGGTAAGACACTACACATTTATTCTAACATTTTCCATCAGTGTCTTAACTTTAACATTGAATATACATTTCACTACATTCCCTTATGGGTGATCTTTAGGAAAATGCTTGTTATA